GAGAGAGAGAGAGGAAAAGAAATAGGGAAAGAAATAGAGAGAGAAGGAGAGAATTCAACGACGAGGATTCACTGTAGTACGCCGGAAGTACGCCGATCCTCCAATTTGCGCATCAAAGATCACGCGTATTAATCGTAAATCGCGTCCGGGTTTTCCACCAAAAAAACAAAATTCACCAACTCACTCGAATTTGCTCGTTCGTTCTCGTTTATAACCTCGAAACGAAGCCACGATATTCAATGGCGTCACCGTTCGCGCACGCACAGGGTGAAAGAACACAAGTTTGAAAGAAACGACGACGTGGGGTACGACGTACACGCACGTGGACCGCGCAAAGGTGCCGTCAAAATTCGTGTGTGAGGATGGAACTCGCGATGGAAAGAGAGAAAAAAGGAGATAGATAGAGAGAGAGAGAGAGAGAGAGAGAAAAGAGGAAAAGGAGAGGAAAGGAAAAGAAAACGGATGGAACGAGGGAATGACGAAGAAGAAGGCGGTGCGGACGAATGCGATGGAAGGAGGACGAGAACTATGGTGGAGGAGGAGAAGGAGAGGAGGAAACAGGCGACGCCGTAAAGAAGACGAAAAGCAACGTTCACGCGGCGACCGAGTAGCGAGGACTAAACACTAAAAGCGGCACAGGCATACCAAGCAGCCCAACCGGCGAGGCTGTTGCTTATTGTGTAAATATAAACAAATATAGTTGAAACCAACCAACAGGCCTGCTTTCAGCTCTCCCTTCTCTCCCCTCCCTGCCAAACAGTCTTCTACTCTTGTGTGTGCCCTACCTTCTCTGTCGGCATCTCCCCCTCCCCACTTATCGCGGCCTCTCTGTCCTCCTCCCCTACCCCACAGTCGTGTCTGAAGACTTTGCCCCTCTCGCTCCACCGTAACACCCACCCTTCGTCACGTCCCTGACCCCACCGCCGCCAGGCAAACCAGTACATCATATACGAGGCACGTTGTATACCGTTGCTGTGTGGCTGACTGGCTGCCTCGGCTTAGCTTGGCCTGGCCTTTTCTCTCTCTTTTGCCTTATGCTCTTCTCGTCCCATATGCTCGTCTGTGCTCGAACATTACGCATCGTCGCACGCTTGTTTGGCAAGCGGCTGTTCGCGACGCCTAACTTCGTGACAAGCGCGGCTGGTCGACCGACTTCGTTGCCGGCCGACTTCGATAACCAACCAACCTCGCGGTCGTTCGCATCACCAGTCAATTTTCCGTTTTTCGAGTTTCGTGGAAACCGAGGATTTTATCCCGAGGCGTGTGACTTGTTTCGTTATATCGTCGATTAGTGACGAGAAGATTTTATTGTTCGATCGATAACGATTTTTTTTAATGATTAATACTCGGATCGATCGATTTTCCTCCATTCGTTTTCCTCTAATCGAGAATCGAAAATTTCGTGGATACAATTTATAGAACGTTACAAAGGAAATTGGAACAAACGTTGAGAAAATGATTCGTTAGCACTGTGGATCTAACGAGCAGATATTTCTCGCGATAAGTGGAATATAAGTTCGACTGTGACTCTTTCAGCCGCACTCGAACCGTTCGATTCACGGGCTCACTAATAAATTATGAATATTCCGCTCTTGACTGGTTATACACGGACACGAGGAGGTGGTCGCACACATCGATCCGTAAATACGTGTGTACACGTGTTGTCTGACGCAACCTGAACCACCGGCTCAAGTTTGTATAGGCGAACCGGAAATGGGGGACGAAATATTCCTCGAAACGGCGTGTCCTTAAAATATTCCTTTCACTCGTATTTCAAACGCGCGACAATTGGTACCGCGTACAGCTATGCTTTCAAAATTTTCCGCTGATACGCCAGGAATTACCTCCATTCTCGTGTTGTAAATGTGATAGAGAAAAAATAAAAAATAAAAAAAAAAGAGGAAAAAGAGAGAGAGAGAGAGAAAAGGAATAAACGAAGAACAAGCGATTGAAAGAATTATACGACTACGTTTTCTAAGAATCCCATCCTCCCTTCCCCTACGCCTCGAGCAAAAAGATGACGAGGAGAAATTTCATTAGCGGACTTTAAAGAAACGATACTAATTTTATCGCGCGCGAAGAATCGTTCGAAACAGATTCTCCTCCACCTTTAACCGTTCCCATTGTCCAACGTCTAGTAGGTAGATGTACTACGAAAGCCAATGGTAGCGGAACGAGGGGTGGCCGCAACCCATCGCCCGGTCCTATGACAACAAAACTGAGAGCAAAAATAGGCGCAGCCGGCCTGCCGAGGCTTGTGTACGTGGCATATACTAAATATGTATTTATTAAGTAAACAACCGTTGCGCTGGGGTTCTAATGTACATACGTCTCGTTTCCTATTTCATTGTGAGTAATGCGTTCTCGTAGATTCGATGGCGTTTGATTACGTCATGCTGCACGCGAGTGTAGAACCTCGTACTTTGTACGATATAAAACGGTTCTATAAATTTTCAAACGTATTCCTCTAACATCCTCCATCATCTCGCGCGAAAATATGAAAAACACGTATCGCGCCTGATGCGAAATCAACGAGAGACAAAAGGGTGTAATTTATAAACCTAAATAACGAAAAAGGATAAAGATCCAGAAGAAAAGGGATACCTTTAACGCGAGTGGTTAAAGAACGGATCCCGGATTCGAACCTTTGTACGATTCTTCGCCGGAACGCGCGTACGAGCAGCGTACAAGAAGGGCGCGTGCGAGTGTAGGGAGGGGTGCACGATCGAGCAAACCGACCGTAAAGAAGGATAATCGCAGGGAGTCAGTCGAAGTAAGAAGAGATAACGAGATCGTATATCCCCATCAAAAAGAGGAGGAGGATGAGGAGGAGGACAAGGTAAACGCCTTCGTCCGTGCGCTGGACAGACATCCTCTGACCATCCCCTTTCCTTCTACGTCCCACGCGCATCCCTCCTCTTCTAAATAATAAACGAGAGGATTTACCCCCGTCAGGTTCGCGCGACGGTACATAAAAATACTCGAATCTGAGAAATTAGCGGGAGAGGACTAACGGGACGTCGTTCGCCGCAGGAGTCGCAGGCCGGGCAAGGAGAGGAAGAGGACCGAGGACGGAACCGAGTGG